ACTTTGCTGAATAATGTTAAAAAAATCCATTTTTCTTTGTTCTTGGCTTGGTTATATATTAGGTTTTTTTGCTGAGCAATGTGGCACTAGTGCATGTATTTTGTGCACTTATATAGAAGGACAGGGCATGTCCTGCTTTAGGATTTACTGATGGTATGATTTGGGTTTTCTCCTTAAAGACAGGAGGTAGCTTTGTTTCTCACTAAGCATAGGGCTCTAGCACATTGTTTATCCTATTTTTTACATCTACTTGCTATAAAAATCTCATTCATTATTTGCATTCAGCAGTGGTCACACAATGAAAGTTTTGTGATTCTTTGTAAGCTACAAGATAGGCAGAGAAAATAAAAAAATAAAGGTACTTGTGGTGTAAATGCTATAGAATATTATTGCCAAATCACAAAGGCAACAGTACAGTATACATAAATTGTATTGAATTGCACACTGGTATTTAAAACTAACTTTTTGGATTGTCTGGTGAGGTTTCCTGGCTATACTAAAGTATCTTAAAATAACATCATGGTATCAAGTCCCAGAACCTCACATTAATGTGCCAGCTGCCTGAGCTAGAGTTATATACATGAAAAAGAGAAACACTCTCAATAGATTTCATTTCCTATAGCTAAACTGTCTATTTCCTTTAATCCCCACTGAACATAAATATGAATATTGATGTCTGCTAAATATAGGTGCACAGAGTTTAAAGTTCTTGCTAAAGAGCAAATCACTAAGCAGAATGGGCAGACCAATACAATATAGCTGAAATATCAGTAAAGTGAAGAATGGTACCTAATTGGTGTAGTAGCAATACAGATAGAAAAGTAGACATTATGGATCCCTTCATGAATAGAGGATGAGCAGAAATTCTCTAAGAACAATATTATACTCCATTTCTCCTTACTGGCCTGAGGAATAGACTTTACCTTAGCTGTGGGACTAAGCCTACTAGTGTTGAACAACTACTACTATTCACGTAAGCAACAGTTGAGAGTGCTAACCCATCCTAGACTGAATCCTGGCTATGTATTTTTAAGCCATATGCCCCTTCCACTCATTCCTTCATTAAAGATCTCTGTTTGTGTCCCTTTTCTTGTTAAGAAATGACTGCAAGTTCCTGGGAAAATGGCACAACCCCATAGGAGTCATACATAGCAGGATTATCTGAAAAATATTCAGAGATCATTCATTTCCCTTTGAAGAGAAATAGCCTTTTCCATTTATCGGAAAGAAATGATAGGGTTAAGTTATTAGGAGTATTTGTTGAAACTTCAGAAAGGATGAGTGGTCTACAGAAAGATCTTGTAACAGGTCTGAGATTTTATGACCTCGTGGTGAAAATGTCTTATTTTAAGCTTGGGTGTATATAACATGTAGAGTAAGTATCATCTTGGAGATGAGAGATAATGATGAAGTATTTTTTTTATTTGCAGTGATGGATTCAAAGAAATCATGCCGTACGATCACTTCCAGCCACTTCCTCGGTACGTAGGGTCACTGTAATGAGTAGGCCAGTGTTGGGATGGAATTTCCACTGGGAATTAAGTATTCAAAGAGCATGGAACATTATCATTTGACTGTAAATAATTATTATAGTGGTTCTTTAAAACTGTACAAAAAAGCAGATTTGGGGAAGAATCTTATAAATTCTTCTTTATATGTATGTTTGACCTAAATAGGACTTGCGTTGACCGTAGTTTATCATGTTTGCAAATGTCTGCAATACAACCCTATTAGATTATAATCGCTTACTGAAAAGGTAATGATCTGCCAAAGCTTCCTTTAAAATGTATTTATTTATCCATTCCTTTATTTGAATATATGTTTTGATTTAATAGTTAGAAAATGCCTGAATTTGCCATTTCTGTTACTATTTGTAGTGTGATGCATTAGCAATTAATATTTTGCTTTTTAAAAGATATTGTTCTTCAATTAAAACTAAGACGACCAAGGGACGGGGAAACACTGACTGGAGCATGCCTAAGTTCTGGCACACAAGAAAGCTCCAAAGTTGGGGACACCAGGAGAGCCACTCTTGCAAGACCTGAGGGACTGCTTCTCCCTCAGCATGACAGGAAATTGAGGGTCTCAATT